TATTGAGATGCTGTACTTTTTATTTGTTAATTCTTTATTTGGTGTAACAAGTTGTTGCATTCATACACAATGTGTATTAATATATTACCTATTACCAGATAAGCGTTTAAAAATTATCTAGTATGTCATTACCATGATTTTTGTTCTTGTCATTCTTAAATATTAATCATTTACGTATTAATTATGTCTTTTTATTGTTTTAAGCATCTAACTACTTAATATGTCAATATTTTTCACCATCTAACCGTTAAAAGAAGTTTCAAAATTAATATCATGTGCAATGCACGGGTGATTAATTAGTTTTGTTTTTAAGAAAAGAAAATCATCACAAGCATGTATGTTTATAGAGTGGCTAACATTAAGATTCTATCATTCAACTTTATAATGTTAAGTGAGAATATATATATATATATATATATAATTTGACAAGAGTTTTGGGTGTGTATATTGGCATATTTTTAAAATCAAAAGATTTAATATATAATTTAAACATCTTTTATAATAGATAAAAATATTCATAAATTAAAATGGTTTGAGTGCAAGGCAAAAAAGAAATTATTGTTTAGATAAAATAATGACTTAAGGATGATTTAGAAGCCCCCCTGGCATGGTGGATATGTTTTGCTTCTTACATTATGAAAATTTATGTTAACAAGGATTTTTTTTTCAATGTATATTGAAATATAACTGAATACAATCTTAAAACAAAATAAGTCGAATATAATTTAATCTTAAATGTTTTGGCAAAAAATGTTGTTTAAAATTACTTCTTTTGCAACAAACACCTAAAATTAAAATTTGTTTTTCGGAGTCAAAATATTTATATATATATATATATATTTTATGATGATCCCCGTGAATTTTTGTCCAGTGAGACCCACATAGATCCACACATTAGAGTAAAATAGTATTTTAATGACAAACTTTTTATCACAGTTTTCAAAATAATTGTGGTAAAAAATATACAGTGATAAACTTGTAAATAAGTGAAAAACTGTTGATATTTTGATGACAGTCATAAGTATTCACTGATACCGTAATTTATTAAAATAAATTGTCATACTTTAATTAAAAAATTTAATAAATTAATTAATTTAAAAATACACATTTATTAATTAATTAAATAATTTAACATTGGCTAAATGTGTCTGAGAAACAACTTTAAATGTAATTAATGAATTTAAATAAACTAAAATTGTAGTTAAATAATCTTTTAATTAATTAATTTAAATGTATTTTAATGTGTCAGAACGTAGACACTGTAAACTCTGAGATCAGCACTTATGGCTACAGGAAAGCATACACCATTAGATCAGGAATTTTGAGAGGGAAAACATTTGGCTAACGTTGTCATGATAGATGGTTCCTGCAGCGAAAATATTGTTGTGTTTGGTTTTCTTTGGTTGCGTACCTAATCGAATGTTGATTTATGCATTTGTGGGATGAGGATCATGCTGATCACTGTAATAAAATCTAAACCATTCATATTTTTTCTTTTAATTTTTAAAAATAATACATTAAATACCCTACCAATAAAATAATTGACTTTGAGAATTAGTTAATCCAAAAAAAAATCTTAAAAAACAGACCAAAAATTACAAAAAAAGAACATAAAAGAATTTAATCAATATTAATTTTTCTCATAGAGTACTTATTTTTAATTTTATGAATTTTTGTTATTATTTTTGAACTCATTTTCTAAAATTTTTTAAGTGAACTAAGTTAATTTTGTACTAAAAAAAGACAAGAGAACAAAATATTAAAACTTGAAAAGTAAATAGTTTAAAATATCAAGAATATTAATACAAAATACTAAAAACAACATTAAATTCATAATTTTTCCCAGAATGAGAGGTGCATTTTCATTTTGCCTACCCTCCCCCTCACCATCACATGGCTCTGCCAACGATAATGAAACTGCTTGTGGAGATGCAGCTGCTGTTGGATATTAAAAGTGAAAAGATGGTCCTTCAGGCAAGAGCTCATAAAATCTCACTTCCCCGCGCCATATCACACTCAATGCAGTGGTACTCCGAGTCCCATACACACCCCTCACCATACATTAATGTCAATAACGAACTGAGGAAAGAATATTGAATGAGAAAGCTATATCAAAAATTTTGGTGATTATATTAATTGTTAGATGTAATTATTACTATGAAAATTTATAAACTATTTTTGACAATAAAATTTTAATTCTTTTCCAAATAAAATATTTAATTTTTAAAATTTATTTTTTAATGTCTAATGAAACGATTTATATTTGAAACTCTCTTGTATGTAATTGATATATACTCATTGGAGCATTTTTTTTTTAATAAATACTCTCGTAAACTATAGTCTATGAGATGGTTTCTATTATAAAGGTTTCAATATGCTCCACTCATGTTTTAAGAGTGTTTTTAAAAAAGGTTAAAAGGTATTTTTTCCCAACAACTATTCACTTAAAGGTGTTTTTGTAATAAAAGTTTAGGATATCAAATACTCATATAACCTATTTTTATAATGGTAGTCCCATAAATACCCCGTTGAATTAAATATTGATATCAATAATGAACAGAGGAAGAATATTGAATCAGAAAGCAAGAGCAAGTATGTATATATATATATATACATACCAATGGGGTGTGGAGATGGACAAAGATGGAGCTCAAGGAAAGTTCCCAATTAGGAGAACAGATGCAAGGGAGCAGGGCAGGTGGGGCTTTCAGAGTCCTTCATGATAGCACCAGCAATGAGGTCAAGAGCAATGGCTTTGTCACTATACTTGGCCACCTCTTGTCGGAACAACACATGAAGCCGCTCAGCCTTGTGCCAAGGCGACTTCAAGCTTGCGTTGGAAACAACATGAAGGCTTGGCCTCACTTCCTGTACATGGAAGCTCCCACATTGTGCTTTTGGTCCCCTGTTGCTCATATAAACCATGCTTCCTGCCTCTATGTCAACCACCACTAAATTGAATCCCCTGTAATACTCTCCTTCCCTCCTCAGTCCTTCCGTAAATTCTCCTTGGACTCTTTCCACTCTACCACAACCACATAAAAAAACTGACTATATAGAGAATGGGGAGCGATCATATAGAAACATGTAAGAATAACAGAAGGACACTGTATATTTTAACTCAAAACTTCAAGCTTTAAAGCTTATGAATACTTCTACCTTATTATATATTAGTATGAGCATACGGAGGAGGAAACATACATGATGTGATGCACTAGTTGGGTCTTATGTGTGAATGGAGTTACATGTTCGAACTAAAAAAAGTGTTTACAGAACATATGCATGTATATTAATATATATACACCTAGAGAAAAAGGAGTGCGAGGTCGCCCCGGGTTCTAGCATGAGGAAGAGTATGAGATTCTAATACGTTATTGAGAATGGAGACTCTTCCATCTCTGGAATAGGCCAGCCATGTCCGTCCTCTCACCTTGTCTCGTCCTCCTAGTGTCTCCATTCTGGTGCCTTCCCACCACGATGCTGCCTTCGTCGCCCTTCATCTCACCACCATCAACATTTACTCAACATTTTGTTATGAGATGAGAAAGAAGGAAAGAATGGAAGGATGGAGATATGAAAGCTTGCCTGTTATGGTACTCATCTCTGTTGTTCAAAAGGATCAAAGGGTAAAGTGGGTGGGCTTGCCAAAGAAACACCACTATGCACATTATTCTATATCATCGAGGTTGGAATGTTGGAGATAGTTCACAATATGCAAGTAAAGGTTGAACTGGGGAATATATATAGATATAGATGACACTAACATCGGGAGACTTTTACACATCCTTACATAGACACAATAGGTTAGTAACTTCTTCTTTTTTATTTTTTGGGAAAAGGAGGGCTAGAAATCAGCAAGTTTAAGTTTTGATTAAATAGGCCTGAGTTTGTAACGGAGGCCTAGGACTAGAGTTAGGAATATATGCTGAGCCATGGAAATACTCATATTTTGTAGAATTTTTTTTTTACTTTTTTATTTCAAGTTTGAAAACTATTCAAATTAAATTTTAAAAATTTAAATTCACTTAAGCATCATTTAGATTGTTAGATTTGGATTTTAAATTTAAAATCTTATATTTAAATTTCATTTATTTAAAATTTTTTGTTTGAATAGTATAAAATTTCCAAATTCAAAGATAATGGAAAAAGGAATGAGAAATGAAAATGGAAAGAGATGATAGGACTAGAGTAGTTACAATTTCAAATAAGGATGTTGGAGGAATTTAAAATTATAAAAGAATTATAATAAAACATAAATTTGAATTTGGATATGAATCAAATCTAAATCCATAAATTTTTATGGATCCAAATTGTAAATTTTCCTTAAATATTAATCTAAATCCAAATCTCCCTATACACAACATTAAATATTTTTATATAAAATTATAATATAAGTTTAATAAAATATTAAATTATAACAGTTGCAATTTTGATCCAGCAAGATGAAGAAAAAATAATGGAAAATGAGAAGTTCATCTCCCTAGCTTTTATCTGGACAGAGACAAAAACAGGGAGGAGAGAAAAATAGAGAGAAATGCCCTTAAAAATAGTTTAAAAAATTGCTGTTTTAGGAAATTTATTTTTTCTTCCTAATTTTCTCTCCATCCTATTTTCTTTTCACTTTTTTGTCCAAACAGGCAAGATATAAGGGAAACATTCATAAAGGAGATTAGTCTGACTAAGTCAAACCACTCATAACCTTATATTAGTCTACACGCGTCCAGATCATATGATAACAAACAAACGACACTTCCAACGGCTAATTTACCAACAGTCATTTGCCATTGTAGAATAGAGGTGCTTCCATCTTGCGAGAGTCATTTCTCTCTCCGTCTTGTGAGAGTCGAGTGAGGTCCGAGTGTCATCTTTGCCGGAGGTGATCTTCTCCGATCATTTTTTGGTTTTTTTCTGAGGGACCAGTGTCCTTCAGTGTGCGTGAGTGCAATGCATTTGTGCCGTGTGTTTGTGTGAGTGTGTCTGGGGGTGTGGAGGACAGGAAGATGGAGAAGGAGGAGTGTAGTAAGGGCTGGGAAAAAGCAAAAGAGGTGGTTCTAGATTTGAAAGAAAACACTACAGGAGAAAGAGGTGCTCTCGTTAGCAAATTATTGACTGGGAAAAACCTCAAGAAGGGCGTGGTGACATCCATGATTAAAAAAGGGTGGAACATGGAGGAGGGGGTGACGATACATGATACGGATAAACTTGCGTTCTCATTTCGCTTTGATCGTGCAGGGGATTACACCAGAATTCTCAAAGGAAGACCATGGTCTATTCAGGGGCAGCTATTAAGTCTGCAACCGTGGGAGGATTTCATGGTCTTTAAAGAAGTGGACTTTGACTGGAGTCCATTCTGGGTGCAGTTTCATGGTCTACCACTAGAAGCCATGACTCAGAATAATGCCATAAACCTAACGCAAGCGGTGGGCGAGGCCGTAATGATAGAACATCCGATGGTCCATAATCAGCTTTCCAGAACGTTCATACGAACCAAGGTTCTCATCAACACCCGAAAACCTTTAATTTCGGGCTTCTGGACGCCTAGACCGGGTAAAGACCCAGTGTGGGTTGGGGTGAAATATGAGAGACTTCAATCTTTCTGCTATCATTGTGGTTGACTTGGCCATGATGCAAGGACATGTAAGTTTGACTCAGAAGGAATGGAGGACGGCTCGGACGATGAAGCATTTGGTAGTTGGATGAGTGCCACGAATGTTAGAACATTTGAAGAGGGACTGGAAGTGTATAAACCAAGATGGATCGAGGTGACAGATCTTCTCCCAACGGTGCCGCATGCTAGAGTCTCCGGTAAGGAAAAAGCGATCATGGGAAAACGAGGAAAAGGGGGCGAAAGAAGTGGATCCAGAGCGAATAAGGGTGGAATTAATATTAATGCAGAGAGGGGAGAGGGGGCAGGAAGTTGGATTACTGAATACCAGGAATATTGCTCGTGATATGAATGCTAAGCAACAGCATGCACACCTAGAAGAAATTACAAAAGTACCACAAGCAGAACATGATAGGCCTATTGTGACAAGAAATATGGGCCCACACACATACCAACCCAGAACGGAGGAATTTCTAGATATTGCGGAGGAGTGTAGTATGGTTTATGAAATCAAGCCCAGTGAATATGTGCAAGCCCACACTGAGGATTATGCGACAGACTTTCCAAGTGAAGACCAAGAGTGCACAGTAATTGTTCCCTTCACTGGGCTCTCACCCATCTCATCTGTGGCTCTTAGGCTTGATGGAATTATGCAAAAAAGGCCGGCTAATGAACCTAATGTAGAAGTTTGCTCCAAACGATGAAAAAAGCTGTGTTTTGATGAAGTGAGTGCTGACAAAGATAGTGTGCAGCAGGCATCCAGAATAAGTGACTTCAAGGGCAAACGAACTCCTGGAAAATGAAGCTTTCGTGCGCTAAAACACCATATTTGGACAAAAGGGAAATCCGGCAGAGATGATGATTCGAAAACTGGATTATGGAGGATTCGACATTGATTTCCCCGACAATTGGTTCTTCTTCCGTGAAAGTATTTCTACTTATGTTATTGACTCCTCTGTCTCTAATGCCAGTGGCTGTGCTGATACGGCCACCGTGCACCATGAAAATATTAAGTTGGAACTGTCAGGGTCTTGGGGTTCCCTTGGCAGTTAAGAATCTGAAGAAGGAGTGTGCTTTACAAAAACCCCAAGTTGTTTTTCTTATGGAAACAAAACAAAAAAAAGCTAGAGTTAGTAAGGTTCGAAGGAGGTGTGGTTTTTGGAGGAATGGATTATGGAGCCCTTAGGGAGAAGTGAGGGTCTAGCAGTATGGTGGAACAGGGATGTGGGGGTTAGCATTATTTTGTCCACGCAAAATATTATTCATGCTTGTATCACATCTGCCACTATAGATGTACCAAGATATATCACTTTTGCATATGGGCCACCTGTCAAAGCTGACCGAATGAGGGTGTATGCTGAAGTTATTCGTATTAGCAGAGGTATGGATGGCCCTTGGTTGTGTTTAGGGGATTTTAATGATATTATATCTCAACAAGAGAAAAAAGGGGGGAGGCCTCTTGCGTGGAGGAAAATCATGAACTTTCTGCTATTATTTGTGATCCCCTTGATATGGGCTTTAATGGATCAAGGTTTACCTGGTGTAATAAGCTGATTGGCTCTGCCAGTATTTATAAGCATATTGATCATGCTCTTGGCAATGCTGCATTATGCGTATCTTTCCCTAAGGCTCAGGTCTTCCACATTGAACCTTCGGGGTCAGATGATCTTTTACTTTTGGTAGACCTTAACTTTAGGACCAAACCAACTTCAAGAAGATTTAGATATGAAAAAAATTGGGGCTCCCATCTGGATTTCTTGTCAACAATTCAAACCTGTTGGGTTGATCATGAAGCTGGCCATTCTGATCCTCTATTTGATTTTATTGCTAAATTAAATCATTGCAGATTGGTCTTGACCAGGGGGAGCAGAGAGACTTTCCCGAATTATAATAAACTCGTTCATCAACTTAAGAATCAATTGGCCTGTCTATGGCAAGGGGACGTTACAGAAGGGAAGGTTGCAATGGCAAATGACATTAATCTGCAAATAGAACAACTGCGTGATCGAGAAGAGCAGTATTGGTGGCAAAGATCTCGAGTTGCATGGCTTCAAGCTGGGGATCGAAATTCTAAACTTTTTCATCTCTCCACTATCTTGAGAAGACAGAGAAATAGCATATTGAGAATTAAAAATGATCAGGGACATTGGCTGGAGGAGAGGGGTGAAATTGCATGCAATATTTCTGATTACTACCAACAACTGTTCACTTCTTCTAGGACTCAATCTATGGATATTGCACTGGATGCTATTGATTCTAAAATTGATAAAGGCATGAATTTGATGCTTTTAAGACTTGTGATACGAGAGGAAGTCCGAGAAGCTGCCTTTAGCTTGGGAGGATCTAAAGCCCCAAGACTGGATTCTCAGGTAGTTTCTATCATGATTCGTGGAGTGAGGTTGGGGAGAGCATTGATTCTGTTGTCAAAGATTTCTTTGCTAGCCAATTAAATATTTTAGATATTAATGAGACTAACATCACCTTAATCCCGAAAGTAGATAAACCGGAGCATATTACTCAAGTTCGCCCCATTGGCTTATGTAACTTTTGCTATAAGATTATCTCTAAGCTGTTAGCGTGTGTTTGGACTGAGGAGAAACGTGCGTTTTCAGCCCCAGAATTGATTTTTTGAACAAAATATCCAAACAGCAGAAAAACGCAGAAATCGATTGAAAAACAAAACGCGCGTTTTTTTATAAGCTCTTCCCACCAGCTTTTCGCAAAAAATTTGTCAAAAATGTTAGAGAAAATTACAAAGAAAGGTCCAAGAAAAAATTACAAAAAAAGCACATAATTTAATAAAAATAAAATTAAACTCTCTTCTTTTCCCTTTTTTTTCTTAATAAAATTTAAACTTTGTATATTCAAAAAATTAATATTTGATATTTAAAAATTAAATTATATAGTTAAAAATTAATTTTAATTAAATTATCCAAACAACTTCAATTCTGTTAAAATCAATTTTAGAAAAACAGTATCCAAACAGATTGCGTTATAATATAATCAATTATGATTAAAATCTACTACTTAATCAATTATTTTCATAATCTATTATACCCAAATGAAATCCAAACGGACCTTTAGTCGTCAGAATGAAGTCGTATCTATCATCTTATGTTTCTACTACTCAGAGTGCGTTTGTCCCTAACTGTCTTATTCACAACAATATTATCATTGCACATGAGGTGTACATTATTTGAGGAGGACAAAGATGGGGGTGAGTATGAGTTTGCTCTAAAAATGGATGAGTAAAGCATATGATAGAGTTGAGTGAAATTTTCTGAACACTACTGCAAAAAAAATATATTTTACGTCCCTCAATTTACATTACTTTTTATTAAAGTAATATAAAAAATAAAGGCAATAGTAATTTTATAAATAAGTATTGAATAGTTAAAAATATCCATGTCACTTTCATAAAAAAAAATAGACCTAGCAAATAATTCACGTCTCTTTTTAAGAAAATGGACATGGATTTAATCGTTTAAAAATTAAGAAATTTAATTTATACTTAAAAAAGCAACATCACTTTTATTGAAAAAATATACATAGATTTCATAACTAACATATTAAAAATATAAATTTATAATATATAAAATTCACGTCACGTTTTATCTAAAAAGGCACGTGAATTTCAATAATAATTTTAAAATATAAATTTTAATTTAAAATAATCCACATATCTTTTTTGTTAAAAAAGACGTGGATCTTATAGTTAATAATTTCAATATTTGCATTAATATTTTAGCAAATTCATTACTTTTTATCTAAAAAGGTTGTGGTATTGAGTGATAAAATTTAAAAAATAAATTAAAATAAGACACGTCTCTTTTATTATGAACAAGGACGTGGATATTATAGTTCAAAATTTTGACATTCAAATTAAATATTTAAGCTAATTTACGTCGCGTTTTAGCTTAAAAGGGACATAGATTTGAGTGCTAAAATTCAAAAAAAAATTAAGAAAATCCACATCAATTTCTAAATAAATAGGAACTTGAATTTAAGTGATAAAATTTAAAAAATAAATTTTAAAATTAAAACAATCCTCGTCTCTTTTTTGTCAAAAAGGATGTGGATATTATAGTTCAAAATTATATTTTCAAACTAAATATTTAAGATAATTCAAGTCGCTTTTTAATAAAAAAGGGACGTGGATTTGTGCTTTAAAATTTAAGGAATATTTAAGCTAATCCACATCACTTTGTAGTTAAAAGGAACGTGGCTTTGAGTGAAAAAATTCAAAAAATAAATATAAAAATTAAAATAATCCATGTCTCTCTTTTTTGTAAAAAAGGATGTGGATTTTATAGTTAAAAATTATAATCTGTAGATTGAAAATTAAACAAATCCACGTCCCTTTTTTATCTAAAAAGGGATGTGGATTTGAGTGCTAAAATTAAAAAAATATTTAAGCTAATCCACATCATTTTTTAGCTAAAAAGGGATGTGAATTTGAGTGCTAAAATTAAAAATATATATTTAAGCTAATCCATATCGCTTTTCAGCTAAAAGGGGACGTGGATTTGTGTGCTAAAATTCAAAAACTAAATTTTAAAATTAAAATAATCCATTTTGTGGTTCAAAATTTTAACCTGTGGAGGAAGAAAAAAGCTAATCTACGTCACTTTTATATAAAAAGCGATGTGGATATATTGATATATTTTTATTATCCACGTCGCTTTTTTAAAAAAAGTGACATGGATAATGTAATAGTTTTAAACTCTGATCACCTCCCTCCCTCACGAATCCTTATCTATTCTCAAATATTCTATTTGTTTTCTCTCTATTTCTCTCCCCACAGTTGAGGCACTGTGAGACCCAACCATATTTTTAACCTCCAGCAGGCGCATGCGATGCTTGGCTAGGCAGCGACAGTGCATAAACTACAAGCAATGGTGTGTGATGGTGCATGATAACATTTCCAGCAATGGTCAACTCACATTCCATGTTTTTTGACCTTCTGATCATGATGGTGTGATTAAAATTTTAAGAAAATGGTTGGAAATG